AATATTTTAAAGGAATACTGGAAAGGCAGACAATCTGAATACATGTATATCTTTTAGTTCAGGGTTATAAAGGTTTTTCTACTACAACATGGACAAAAATCATGTATTTAAATACATCTAAATTCCCTTACTGAATTTTTATTGATACTGAATAAGATATTCTAAAATGAATAGTATTAATGTGATTTGTCAAACTTACCAAACTCATCTAAGATAAATTGCAGTATATATGGATTCATGTACGAAAGAATGTATGTATATATGTATGTATGTGTGTTTGCATTCCAAGCTCAAAGGTCAAACTGCAATGGGAAGAGATGATACTCAATTATTGTAGGAAATCATAACTTTATTGGAAGCTGAATCACAAACTGAAGGCGCAAGTGTTTTATCTTGAAGGGAACCGGAGTCCAGTATTCCATAATCTGAATAGTTGTCAACACTCACAAATCAGGCTTATTATCAAGTAGGAAACACAGAGCCTTCATTCAGTTTGTTACACACTGAACAATTTTCATGATTCCTCAGAATTAATAAATTGACAGATTTAAGATGAATATGTTTCTATTGAGTGCAAAGCACCCGAGGGGTGGAAATAATAATCTGTCTGTCAAGAACAAGAACTATTTTTTAATTACTGGTGGTGTGGGAAAACAGGTGGCTAGGTAATAGTGTTCTATTATGTTTATGAAGAGAAGCCATGGATTTATATTCTGCATGACACACAAGAGATGAAGGAAATATTCGGAAGACAAAATGCAGTGCGAGAAGAAATGATTTAGCAATCAGAGAAATATAAACTAGAAAAAGTTGTTTAATAGAAATACAGGATGATTTCATATAATAAGACATTCCTTTTCTACTTCTAGATTGATTTATTAAATTGAATGACAGGTTTAGTCTAATTGATATCATATTCTTTTGAATTGAATATATCAATCTTATCCAACAATAATTGTGTTGGATAAACTTTCCAAATGATTTAATATTTTTAGAGAAACTTTTAAAATGATTTTTTTCAACATATTAAAAATAATGTAAAAATATTTCATATATATAAAAAAATCTCAATTTATCAAAATATAAAAATATAAAAAAAATTTAAACACTTTCCACAATATTAAATAATTTTTAAAGTTTATTCAAAAATATTAAAGCTTATTTAACAATATTAAATTTAGGCCTATGTGCTTTAGGAGATGGTAATTACATTTTTACCCATTTTTTATTTCAATAGTGCCATCATCATGCAAAGATTGTGGTTGTCACCACCTTTTCACATCTATTTCGTGCCACACCTACCTGATTGGACCTGCTTGGAATAACTTTCCTCATGATGGCAAATGTTCCAGATCTACTAAACAATGAATCAAACTATTTACACAACGATAGTAAAAGAATATACTGTTGCAATATGAACTATCAATAAGTAATGATGTGGGAATTTTTCTAAGTGATGCAAAAGCTGTGCTATATAGCAATGCTATATAGTCTATATAGGGCTTTTACCACAATGCTGCCTCAGTATGTGGCGAGCCTTCGCAAGATGACGATAAATTAATTTTATTGCATCAGGGTTTTGGAGGAGGGGGGTTGTCTTTTATTTTGCAAATTATTTATTATTTTTTAAATTATCATTTGTTACATTGGTTTTAATGGATTTGATGGGGGATATGTCGGGACCAGGAACCCCCTGCCCTGGGGTGGGAAGAGGGGCATACAACTGTTTGGGGGTGGGCAATGGTATACCCCTCCATTGTTTAATTATTTAGAGAACCTGTCTGCTGCCCA